ATCTGTCTCAGAAAAACGTCGGACCTCAACCGCCAGCACAGGGCACTCATTCAAGGCACTACTCTAATACAATGTAGTACTTTCATTTTTAGAACACCCATAATCTAAACTTTATACACTCAGACAGGTTTTCACATATTGTGAATGCCTCAAGTTTTAGAATAGAGACCTTCTTATAGCTATCTCCCTCGCCAGGCACAAACGTGGTTTATGAGAGATGTTTTGAAGAAACCATATGGAATCATTAAAATGATTCTATGTATAACATAAGGAAAACCTATCTCAATAACGGGCACTTCAAATGTCTTAGACGAGAACGTATCGTTTTTATTTTGACTTTTTGAAGAAATGAAGGAATTCCATGTTAAATTAGTAGTATGATGAATTTTTGAACTATTGCCTAGCCTTAAGCTCTTTCAAACAAGAGCCCCTTTCAACTCCCCTCCTTCAGGAAGCTAAGCTGACCCCTCTCAGGAACTATCTGTCCTTCCACCAGCGCTCCTCAATGAGACCACTACTGGTATTTACGAGACAAAAGCTGCCTTACAGGAGGCTGTCCTCTCACTGCAGGATGCGGAATCCACCTGCCCCTGCCTCCTCAACAACCTTCCCAATGTCTCCAGCAGAAGATGCCTCCCCTGGTTAAGAAACCTGGAACAGTTCCCATCTTTTTACCCAGCCCCCATGACCCTATGTACTCAGCTGATGCTAATTCTATGTTGCTTTTTGGTCATACCATTCAGTCAACTGAAGGTTTTTACCTTTTCCATTACAGAAAAGAAATACTTTGACTGACTTCTAATGCATCTAGTACAGTGTTAAACTATCACATATTTGCCAGAAGGCTGGCCACCTATTCAAAATTCATCATGCTGTAATTTCCAATGAAACCCCTCAATTCTGGCCAAAAGCATTTCAGGCTATAGTTTTTATTCTGGGTGATCATTTCTCATACCTGGGCCATTTTGATACCAACTATCTCTTTTCACATTTTTTAAATTTAGTGACTGTTTGAGAAGTCTCAATTTACTCTTGAGCTTTTTCATGTCCTTTAGAAATATGACTTAGATTGCTCCTAGGCCATCTCTGATGCCATGTACTTCCAGTAGACTTGAGCAGAGACAACAGAGCAACCCAACTAGCCATCAGCCACACCGTCCAGTACCCTAAAACGTTATACAAACAAATCCAGTGTTCTGCCACTTCTAAGTTTATTTTATCCCCACGTGCATAATGGAGTCAGGAGAATAACTTTTCATGCCAAAGCAAAATTTATACTTTTGGATAAAAATGGAATGATGGTGATTTTATTATTTTTATTGTTATAACCATTATTGTCACAACAGCAAACCACTGAGTCCTTGCAAGGCGCCAGGCACCCTAAGTGTTTTACATGCGTTACATTACTTGATGATTTAGAACAAAAGTATTAGTCAGAAACTTTCATTAAAGGTAAAACACACCTGAAGAGTCTGCTGGGAATGAATCGAGTGCCATTAACATGCCAACATGAATAGCACGTGTCCTGCTCTATGAGCTGAAGGGCAAGTGAAACTTTTTCTTCACCATGCAAACATGCGGAAACCCTGGGGCACGATACCAGGCTGGTCATCCAAGGTTAAAACATCTAAACATGATGGCTAACGTTCTACGTAAGCAACTGATGAACTGGTTGGTGTAAATATCATGGTGATGGTATCCCCTAGACAGCAGTTATGGAATCAAAAGACTAGAGTTAAATGGTTCACAATGAAATTGCAAATGATATTTTTTTCTAAAAATTTACTATCTCTAGTGTAGTAAAACTGTTTAGTAAAAAAAGGACAGAATCAAAACCCTTCCTGACTTTCATATTGGAAATTATTTTAATATCTACAGTACTGAATACACTTCATTGGCAATGAGAATATTTGACGAGTACTCCCTTTAATGTGTGCTGTTTTTTGTTTCTGAAGGTACAGATGCTGACATTTTTTCAAAAAAAACGCAGTTAAGTTATAAACTAAAAGAGAAAAATTACCTCTAACAAGATTAACTGCCTTCCGTGTGGTGCCACCGCCACATTTCTAAGACAGCACATGATTCAATGGCACCCTTTTCCCATTGGAATTCTACATTGATCATTGGAATATGAATGTGTTTTTATTATGAGATGAATGTGACTGATTAAATGACCTTGATTAGGTATCTTACCTTGGTCTTAAAATTTGTTATCTGTTTTCTTCATTGTATGTGTTTATTAATACCAGTAAAAACAGATTATCACACATCTTCCATAAAATGATTGTGAAAGAAATGTCATTTAGTGTATACGATGAGATACCACTTGCAGCAGACATCTTGGAATATTACAGCATGTTAAGTGCAGTACATTGCAGCTGAGTTCAAATCCAACTTGACTGAAGTGGGCTCCCATAAAAGCTGTTACCAGTGAAGGTGAAAAAAATAAGAATTTGCTCTACTAAGGGAATAAGAAATGAAGTTACAAAACACTTAAATAACATTAATTCCTTCCCAGGCCTTTGTCATGCAAGTGTGGAATTTTAGTCTATTCTCTTCATTAGGGTGACGTAGGACAATGTCATCATTATTCCAATATAAACTTCATTTATCCTATATACCTTATTTGAGAAGAACTGAAACCACTATATGACCTAAAATGTCTTGAAACACCAACTCTAAGAAAATTCCTTACTTCAGTAAAATGTGATGAAAGGAAGAAAATATATACCTACAGCAGGTGGCACGGCTCTAAATAAGGAGCAGCCTGAACCCCAACAAACAGGAACCCTTCAGTCATCCCACTGGTATCAGAAGTGGGTCCAACTCTTTACAGGGGTTCTTTACACACTACATTTTGCCTCATATGCTAAAAGGCATTCGATATTGTAGACACTGTAAATATTTACCACAGACATAACAGACAAGTCTTTTTGTTCATCTAAAATTATTTTAATCTAACAGTATAATTCTGTAAAAATGAACTCTAATGGAAGGTTTATATAAGCCACACAAAGGTGGCCCAACAGAAAAGGTCTAGTAATTTACATGTCTTCATATAAGGAACAGAACGCCTATGAGATCTATGTATCATCTTCAAAATGCAGGAAGAGACTTATCTAGTATTTAATATCTATCAACCTCTTAAATTCTAATGAATTAAAAATCAATTAAGTACAGTGATAATAAAATGTCTCATCTAAGTCTTCCCAAGTTCAGAAAAATGTCTAGCCAGAAACATCAAATTAACCCTTGCTAAACTTATTTTCATCTCCACCCTTGACACATTAGCCCTACTGTATGCTACACTAAGTCAAAGCCTTTAATACACCTCATTTATGGTCAGGAACAACAGTCAAGATTTCAGTGGCCTCAGTTTTTTTTCTTTCAGTTGTATCTGACAACAGTATAAGTAAAAACTCAACTGAAAAAGTGGATCAAAATAGGATGCAAGAAAAACTCACCAATTTTTTTTTTTAATGAAAAAGCCAACTTAGGTGAATGTGTCTACAGAACTAAAATTTTTTATTTCTAATATTTTTCTTTGGAACTGTAGACTGCCTTTCATTTAATTTTCTACCATATTAATCTAAATTTGAACAATCAAAAAAGGAAAAAGAAGGATTTGTATATAATTCACGTTTCATTAAGCTCCTACAAGTTCAGTGAAGAATTCTTACTGAATTTTCTTGAACGTGCCCAAACATAAGAAATGTTCAAAGTTATCTACATGTACCAAACTATAAGAAAGCCCCAATCCCATGTACATGAGAAACTTCTCACCGTTATTTAGCTGGTCTGAGTCACTCAGAGGAGCAGTCTATATTTACATTCTCATCCTTGAAGATTCAGAACAGTAAGCTACAGCACTCTCTGTGCACTTTCTCCAAGTGCCCAGGTCACTGAACCAGATGCTAGGAAGGCCCACCCTCTCGACTAACAGGGAGAACCAACCGAGGCTGAGACAGACAGTGACCAGACTGTCCCTACGGGTGGCGGAGACCAGGTCAGGACTGCTCTCCTCTGAGCCGACGGGCAGTGAGGGGCCTGTCCACTCCCTGCCTCACTACTCTGTCCCCAAAATATCCAAGGTTACCTCTCCTCATAAATATTATACAGTTATAAAAACAGACTTGTGTCTATAATGAGGAAAACAGAATCACAGGGAACAAAATAAAGAGAAATTAAAACTTGAAAGTAAGCTCCAGGAATCAAAAACTACCTCTGAAAAAGAAAAAGTGTTATATCTGCATTTTTGAGGCTATTTTTTTGGATTTGTTTTTAGCAGTGGAAAGACTTTAGGTTTGATCATGAAGTCTAGATGGCATGTTACAATGATGGCAGGTAACAGCCTCAAAGAGTTACTACTTTGTTACCATATATTTTGCAGGTCCAGAAAATAGGAGTCTTATTACAACTGTAGTTTTCATTCATCTCGACACTTGAGTTATCTAAGAGTATGCCAAAATGTGAGAGGACCAAATACACGGGCCCAAAGCTATGAAGTGCATGAGGATGAAGTGATCGTTTGCATCCTCCCTGAGCCTGGGCCAGGAAGCAACAAGAATCAGGGGTGGCGTGTGAACCGCCACTTCACCCACCAGCTGAGTACACAATGACCAATGTCAGCTCAACTGACACAGTGGTGTAATGTTAAGACCAAAGCCAACTTACTTTCATGTGAAAATTACAGTGTGATTGCTATATAAACCACAAAATTTTTAAGACAGATTTCAAGGACAAACTGCATCAATACTGAGGTATATACATACACATTTACACACACACTGTGTGTGTATATCTATATTTGAAGTGCTCAAATGGGCTCAAATTGTGATTTTTCTGCTCCATAAATTTCAGATAGTTTGGAGGAACTCAACTCCTCTATATTTATAGAGAACACCAATGTTACGCTTGTTAAGTTTGACCTTTACTCACACTTCAATGTGATTAATGAAATGGCCTTCATATGAATGCCATGGTTATCATTATTATTTTACCTCATTCTCAGTTAAGGATGTGGAAGGAGATGAACTTTTGCTAAACCCAAGAGTTGAAGGCGCTGCTGCGGAAGCCCGATTTCGCTTCTTCAGTGGTTTGCATGCATCAGACAGATTTTTCGTTGCTGTAAAATAATTTTTGTTTATAAAGTAAAGTTTGAAACCTTAAACCCTCAGTCTCTTTACTGCTTTAAAATTACCTAATAAATTAAGTTCTAAAGATGTCTCTTCCGGCTGCTTTGTCGTAAGGAGGGCTTAGCTTTTTATCATGGAACAATGGGAATGTAAACAAAAGTAAACACACCACAGCATGAACCCTGCATACCTGCTGCCTGGCCCCCAACGACCACTGACCCAGGGCCACTGATGCCCTCCACACCCGGCCCCAGGTCCCCCTCCTGGGTTATTCTGAAGCAAATCCCAGATAGATCATTTCATTCACAACAGTTTAGTCCATATTTCTAAAACATAACCACAATCCTATTATCACACTTAAAATAAAACAATCCTTTTATAAAAATCATCAAATATCCAGCGACTGTTTTAATTTCCAATTGTTCATAAAGGTGCACACAGAAAAATGGATCATGAACACTTAAGCCTGTTTAACTGATTTTTAAAATACAGTACAGCACCTTGAGGAAACCAGAACCATGCCCAATCTTCACTTCCTCTGTCTCCCCTGAATTTTTTCTATCTGTCCTAATTTAGAGTTGGAGATGGTAAGCTTTCTTTAATAAACTATCCAACAGATATATCAAAAAGATAGTTCATGAAAAAGTAAAAAGGAGACTGATTACCCCTTTTGATAGTTATTTTCTAAAACTATTTTAAGCTAGTTTCTTCGACGTGTGAAATGAAATAGCTAGTCAATGCTTTTATTGTTATTAAGATACGTGGATGGTCAAGATACTGAAGAGTGGCGACATTTACAGCAACAGCCGACACCATCATGTAAGAAACATGAAAATGTCTGTTTGAAAGAATCTCCTTTCCACCTAGCTGGCTCCTTACCCTGCTTCAGGTGTCGGGTGAACTGCTGAGCCCTCTGAGCGGCTTCCCTGGATCCCTCCCCAGCCCGTTCCCCTTCCCACTCCCAACCCGCGTGGAAATGTCACACGCTTCCTTGTTTCGCATCCTCACCCCACCCGCCCAGACCGGCAGCTCTGCGAGGGTGGAACAGGGTCTGTCCTGATCACCCCACATGTGTCCGGCTCCCAGCACAGTCCAGGGTACCCAGCAGGAGTAGATGGCAATGGCGGGATGGGGGTGAGGGCTGGGCACATTACCTGTCTGGCTCTTTAGCGAAGAGGCTGCCTCTGTGACCTTAGAAGAGTTTGTTCTGGCTGTTTTGTCATTGATGGTCTCTCTCTGTTATTAAAAAAAAAAAGAACAACAACAGAGGAAAAGAAAGGGAAAAAAATCTCCTAATGTGAACAAACACAGCTGGAAATGATTGTTGAAAAGTTGCACAACAGAGCCTTCTTCCTTTAGAAATATGTCCAAATACTCAAGTCCCCACCAGCAGCTGTCTGGTCCCACCCTGCCTTGCACATGCCCCTGTTGCGTTAACATCTGTCAGGAGATGGGGCTGGCAGGGCTGGGCCAAGACCTGCTATAGTTACGTTATGATACCTCACGTGAATTGTATTCAACATGCCACCTAAACTTTCCTCTGAAGTCAAAGTAGAGTATAAATTAGAAGAAATATCTCCTTCTGCTGTGAGGCTGCCCAACCACTTCAGAGAGGAGCCCTGCTGAGTCAGTGCCAACATGGCCGCTTTCATTCACCATACTGATGATCTCCAATGCTGGGACAAGCTCCAGGTAAGCCTTGCAAATAAGGATCATCAATACAACACATTTACAACTTGAAACAGCAGCAAAAACAAGACGGGATCATAAACATTTTGTCCAGCCCTCAGTTTTAATAATGTAGTTGAAAATGCCCTCTCTCAGGGCAGCGGGGCAGCACCACCTAGAGGGTCAGACCACTGCCTGGGGAGGCACAGCCCCTGCAGGCAAACTCCACCTCCCCCACAGGCCTGCAACTGAGACAGGGGCAGGACTCTGTCTGGGGTGGCCACCAAGGACCACGGACAGGTTACACGTGCTCAGCCCTTAGAACAGTGCCTGGTACGCCGGAAATGCTCCATGCATGTTAGGAACTACAGGCAACAATGGCTTGGGTTTATACAAACCAAACCCGAGGAGATACCATGTTATTGCACTTTTTATCATGTGCTACGTTCTGAGCTATCAGTTGACAAAACATTTCCACCTAGCTATCTATTATGAATTTTGGTATTTCAAATGTCCAGAACCACATCTTTTTTTAGGTAAATAATTTATCCAAACATTTTAAAGTAACCAGTCTCAGAACGCCTGCCCGTAAAGGGCTGCTCTAATGGGAGGCAACCAGAGGAGACACTTAAGTTGGTGCTTACTGGTAACTGCAATCTTCAGTGATGCAAGGTGACTTTAAACTAGCCTACTGCTGTATCCTCGATCATTAACAACCCCGTCTTGCAAGACGTGCCCCGTGCCCCAGAAGAACCTGTTGGCCAGGAAAACAGGGCCTGCCTGCTCCTCTGAATTGCAGATATGGCTTTAAGGAAACAACACGGACAACGGGGGGCCACACACTTGCACTTTAGCAGTATGAGACTTATTTTCCATTCTTTAAAATAAAACAGTAAAAAGGGCAACTTCTTAATTTAGAAGACAGTAGGAAGCTTGACTCAAAGTCATAAATATACACCTACTCTGTCAGAGCTATTACAAAGCAAACGTAAATTCAAACACGAGGCACAAAGTCTAGTTAAACTCTCAGTTCGTGAAGAAGTTAACTGGATATCTGAAATGGTTTAAATAAACTGCACTGCCTCACAGAGCACACTAGCAACGGGTTTGCATTTTCTGATGCATGAAGCACCACGGCCTCAGATCAGACAGAACCACCCATGGCTTCTCTTAGCTATAGAGGCCTCGGTCAGGTACTGAGCAAACTCTGTCCCTGGATGCACGCTGGGAATATGCTAACACTTTAAGACCCCGAGGCTGTCTTCATAGAGGTGGGCCTTTATAGTTATGCTGTTCTTTTTTACATCAAACAGGCCTACACAGCCTGCTTGGTATTCCCACTAAATAAACAACAGCAGGAATTAGTCATAAATTGAATGAGTTCATAAAATCTATTTCCAACGCCTTTAGTGGATCTTTTTAGCTTCTTAGTGAAGTACAACATATCTCTTTGGTGGATTTTTCTGTTTTCAAATCAGCTCGTCATTTACACGTCAAATAATAAGCCCTAAAGACAAGGGCTGTTTTTAATACACAATTTTGTCAAATCTAAAAAATCAAGTACTACTCAAAGTGTTTGGATGTTCACTTCCTTTGACAGCAAAATAGTAAGTTTCTGTGTAAGCATCCCTGCAGACCAAGTGATCTTTCTCTGCAGGGTTCCATGAGAGAAGCAAGTCCTACTGCATCTAGAGCTGCGTGCCATTCTGGGGAGAACCTGGAGGACCACTGCCACACCCCCTCTAGTTCCCCTGGAGTGAAGCCCAGCCCTGTTCAGGCAGTCACACAGCGCGAGTCCTTACAGGGCAGACAACCCGGAACATAGTTACCTTCCGAAGACTGTGCTTGTCCGTCCTGAGTCTCTTCCTGGGTGCTTCCTCAACTTCAAAGTCTTCTGTAGGGTCCTGTGTCCTCTTTGTGTGGTTTCTTTTTTTTCCATTTAAGTTACCTTGGAATGGGGGATGGGGAAACTGACATGAAAAACACTCTACAAGCTGCCCTGCGAAGCACTGAGAACTACCCAGGGCATTCACTGCACAACTCCAGCCCAGAGCAGGTCCTGGAAGCCTGCTCATTTCCAGGGCCTACATATGACAAATCCAATCTCTTTACAACAAAGTGCAAGGAACTGTTTCCTGTAACATCAAATATTACAAGACTGGAGACTGAAAATCCTTTATCTAATCTAGAGATTATTACATTGGTATTCGTCATAATGATAAGCCCTGGTGGCACAGTGGTTAAAAGCACTCGGCTGCTAACTGAAAGGCCAGCGGCTGACACCCACCAGCTGCTCCGTGGGAGAAAGATGTGGCAGCTTCCGTAAAGATTACAGCCTTGGAAACTCCGTGGGGCAGTTCTACTGTCCTATAGGGGCGCTGACTGAGAATCGACTCAACAGCAATGGGTTTGGTTTTGGTTCAATCAAAACGACATTAACATGTATGACAGCACTGAATTTAAGTATAACCCAGTATATTAAAAAATCCTTTCCTAACATTCAAAGACTAGTGGAATTTAAACTGAACTTCAAAAAAAATATGCAACTTGCTATTTTTTACACACTTCCTTAACCAGTTTAAGTGGCAAGACTACGTTTGTATCTGCAAGTCAAGGGCTTTCTACGGCCCATCTGACTGCGCCATGTAACTCTGTTCCCCGGAGTATCAACAACTCTAAGACCTCAGGTGTCCACAAAGCACTGACCTAGAGAAGTAAGGCGTAAGAGTGCAAATCCTAGGTGAACATCAACTTGAACATGCCAGGGTTTATCTTCAATACAAAGTAGGTGTTTTTACTGGCATGGCTGCTTTACAGAGGCCCAGGGCTTGTTACTGATGGACAGTTCACCAAACATCTTGCAGAAGGAAGGGCAGTGCCGTCCTCTGGGACTTCCCTAAGTGGTGAGACAGACACACCAGCACAGGAGAGCTCAGCTCCGTGGCATCCAGTGGGGCCTCAGGAGGAGGTCCAGGTGTCCATCAACTGGTCACCTTGCCCAGTGCCGGCATGCACACAGGTCCCTGCCTTTGGTCTAGCCTACGGTTATGGCTAGAGAAAATCAAGCAGCCAGAGCTCTGACCCTATTCAGCTACCAGTCCCAGAGTGGTGTGAGCCCAGCCCAGACAGCGTCCTTCATAAGCTCTGCTCCCGACCACATCCCTGTGGGCTAGCTGCAAGGACAGCACCAGGAAGAAGCCTGTGGAGTGACGGACAGTGGGGTGAGCTCAGCCACTGCCCAAGCATAGTCATCACATGGCACAGACACCCCAACTCGTCAGAACCTCCTCAGTCAGAGGGGCCCCTAATCAGCACCAGTTCGCTAAGCTAGACACCAATCAGCAGTAACTGTCACCTGGCACCTGGTCTTCACGGAGCTGTGGACAATTCACGAATCTTTCCCCCTCTTTACCTATAATAGGGCAGACTTGAGTAGCTTCTCAAGGAAACCAGCAAGCTGGGTATTTGAATCACTAACACTGACACACAGGAGTGTTGACACCATGACATGGTACATCGTCTTTATTGGTTAGCACTGACATCACCTGAAAGTGAGGGTTAAAGGGCAGCCACGAACAAGCACACGCCTTGACACACACCATGGACAGAAACTGACCCATCACTACTCACATCTACCAACTAGGTACTCGGTGACAGTCCAGAATGACAAAATGGGGACACACATAATCAAATCCACAGGTTGCTCAAAGGCAAGTGGAATCTGGCTTCAGGAAAACCAACCCATTTTCTTAAATAAGCCAGTCGTTGAAAAGCGACACTTTTCTCCATTGAGTGTACTGATGAAGAGTCAGGTGAGTTTCTGCCTTATAAAGGAAACACACAGATACTAAATATTCTCACTATTCTAAGTCACAGCATTTGTCACAAACACTGAGCAAACTGGACAAAGGTTATTATTAATTTAAGTAGATAGCTGACATGGCGATCTATCAAGCCCTCAAGTCAAGATGGAAACATCTGTGGAAAAATCAAGGTTACAACAATACGTGGGCAATTACAGTCAAATACAGAGAGCTGATCTAGAAGCATGAACTAGATACACAAGGCAAACTGCAATTACTTCTGGGGCTCAGGCTGCTGTTAGGTGAGTCTTGAAACACTTTATGAGTGGCCTCTCCAAAATACTGCAATGATGAACCTTGAGAGATACAGAATTTTTTTGCATTTTAAAATTGATACCCAAATATGACATACTTATTTACATTAAAAACGTCAACTTTCCAGAATATGTGGGTCCAAACACACAGAGATCACAAATCTGACCATTGTTATACATTTTCTCCAAATCTTACAGCATTAAGTCTCCCTCATCTTGCCCAAAGCAAAGCAGTACTTTGGCTTTTTAAAAAGAAGGCCTAGGAGAACCAACGTAGACCAATGTCGCCAGATTCAAGGTCAGTCCAGTCACCCTTTGCATCCTCTGACCTCTCAAGCAAATGGGCCAGGAAATGCACCCCATCTGGACTCAGAAACCCCCACCCATGGAGGTGCATCCCCTGGCGAGGTTACCAAGTGCCATCTCTGTGGAGCAGCACACTGCAGCTGGGGGTGCTGCTCTCAGCAGCATGGGGGGCAGCCTCCCTTAGGGGGACACAGGCCTGCAGTCTGACCCTACCCTGTCACGTGAGCCTGGAGTCCTAGATACCGCCTTGGTTCCCTTCCTTCTTTCATCCTCCCTCACGCAACCCCCTGGCCGCAGTGGGCAGAAGCGTGGCGGGGGGTCCCACAGGTCAGACAGAGGATCCACGGGGAACAGCTCTCACAACACAAATGAGGAAATGCAGACAGCAGAGGTTGCTTTATTGGAACCGCACGCACTCTGGTCGCTGGCACAAACACCACAGGTCAGAGGTGGGGAGAGTGGGCACTGCCTCCCTAGGGTTCCGAGACAGGAGCTCAGTTTGCTACCACTACACACAGCACACCTAGGCAGAGCACACTAGCACAGCTTTACGTTTACCAGAGTCTTCTTCTGACTGGGGAGAGGTCACTAGGGCAAACTTTGTGTTATAACGCGCTTTCTGTTTGGCGTTGAGCATGTCCCACTGTGAGCCGAGCAGCTCTTCGATCTCCTCGCCGGAAGCGTCTGGATGTTCGGACACAACCTGTGGACACAGGTGAGGGTGCGGTAAGAAGTAGAATACAGAAAACTCAGACTGGGTTTTGCTTGGCGTTCCATCGAATGCACGGCCCTTCAGCATTTAGCACATGGCATCTCTACTCCCACATTCATGGAACTAGTCTCACACAAGCTTAGGAGAGAAACAGCTCTAACGATGCTGTGCCATGCTGAGAACTCAAACAGAAATGATGCCAGTGAACACAACCCAACTATGTCTATGTAAGTGCAGGAAATGATAAATAGTGAGGAGGGAAAAGTACCCTTTCCAAAATCACTAAATCACTGCAGGCAGCCTTGAAAACTAAGTGGTAGAGCCTCTGTGAGGCCTCTGGCTTGGCTTTCTCAATGGCCGTGCAAGCCATCCTTACCTTTCAGGTACAGCTTTGGATGGATGATAAAGGGGGCCTATCAAGGAGTGCTTCCCGACTTCTGTCACAGCCCGGCCCAGCACACAGAGACAATCGCCTCTGTACACCAAGAGACAGGGCTCCTGGGCACTACGAGCACACCGGGATCAGCTGTCAGCGTCAGCACCCCTGGGAGAATGCTATAAATGCAGACTCCCAAGCCCCACCTCTGCCCTGCCGGCCAGGAACCTGAAGTCTGATTAGCGGTTCTCAAGCATGGTTGTACACTTTATACAGCAACCTGGGAGTTTTAAACATTGGATGCGTAGGTTCCCCCCAAGACCAATCACATCAAGTAGGCCTGGCATCAGTACTTGAAAAGTTTCCAGTTGGTTCTACATAAATCCCAGTGAGAGCCACCAACAGAGAGCGGGGGCCAGCAGCCGGGGACCGGCAACCACAGCCCAGCAGCCAAATCCAGCCTGCCTCTTGCTCCTGTGCAGCCCAAAAGCTAAGAATGATTTTTATGTTTTTAAATGATTGAAAAATCAAAAGTAGAATAATATTTCATGCCACACGAAAAGTACAGGAAATTCAAACATCAGTATCCATAAATAAGGCTTTATTGGAACACAGCCATGCCCACTGGTCTAGGTATTGTTGATGGTTGTTTTCACACTGCAACAGCAGAAGTTGAGTTAGCTGCAGCACAGACCATATTGCCTGCAAAGCCTAAATACCATCTGGCCCTTTCAGAAAAGGTCTGCCAACTGAGAATACCCACCAGTGCAGCTCTGGACCCAGACCCTGAGCTCGAGTCCGGCCTCCTCCACTCACTAGCTTTGTGAACTTGGGCGAGCAAACGTTAGGTCTCAGTTCCCTCTTCAGTGAAATTCGTCTGGCGGTTGTGAGGATTCACTGGTTGAATGTTGGTTGGTCAGCATTAGCACCATCTACTACCTGCACAGCCAACACAGGTAACCCTTGACCCTAAACACAAACCTAGTCACAGCGCCACACCACAGAAGCGCTTCTTGCAGCCTCCCCAGGCTCCCCTTCTGCTGCCTGGAAACAATAAGCACGTACGTCAGCTCCTCTCCTGCCCTTTGCACTACTGCACCCTCTGTGTGGAACACCAGCACCACCACCAATGCCCGTCCACCCTTGAAAGCCCCTAGCCTTACTGCGTCTGTGCCTCATGCCACAAGGATGCCTTTGCAAGCCTCAGCCAGGCTCCGACCTCCAGCACTCCAGCAGGCATTCTCCCCAGTGCCTCCGCGAGAGGCACCGTTCCCACCCCACACCTGCCCTGCACACACATGCTCCCTCCACCTGTCTAGGGTGCCCTCCCCACCCTGCTGCCTGAGCACACCTGCTCCTGACATTTCAGCACCAAGGGTGTCTGATACCCGCCCAGCAAAGGCTTCTGTGAAGAGTTTCAGATCAAAAGGGCACTTTGCCTTTTGGAAAGTCTCTCCTCTTGGAGACTCCTCAAATGTAGCACATTCACGTGCGGACTTCTTACCCTCCTCGCTCACTTATCTCTGCCCCTAGCACCCCACCATCCACCTTCCGATTACAGCATCCCCAATCAGGATGAATCATAATAGCATCCACAGCCGCTTCATCAAACAAGACTTCTGAATCCTATCTGGCTGCTGTCTTAGTTATCTAGTGCTGCTGTAACAGAAATACAAGTGAATGGCTTTAACAAAGAGAAAGGTATTTTCTCACAGTCTAGGAGGCTATTAGTCTGAATTCAGGGTGCCAGCTCCAGGGGAAGGCTGTCTCTCTGTCGATTCTGGGACAAGGTCCTTATCATCAATCTTCCTTGGTCGAGGAGCTTCTCAGCACAGGGACCCCAGGTCCAAAGGACACCCTATGCTCTCAGTGCTGCTTTCTTGGTGGTATGAGGTCCCCATCTCTCTGCTGGCTTCTTCTATATCTCAAAAGAGATTGGCTTAAAACACAACCTAATCTTGTAAACTGAGTCCTACTTCATTACCATAAGTGCTGCTAATCTCACCTCATCAACATCATAGAGACAAGATTTACAACACAGGAAAATCACATCAGATGACAAAATGGTGGACAATCACACAATACTGGAAATCATGGCCTAGCCAAGTTGACAGGTTTTTTGGGGGACACACAATCCATAACAGCCACCTTGCCCTTGCATCTGGCTGGCTCAGTCCTGAACATTCTCGTCTCTGACCAGCTCCAGCCATCCCACACTGGCAGCCCATCCTAGAGCATCAGGATGGTGATCAGGATTTCAGCAGTCTCCTGCCTCTTGGTCCCGTCCATCCACCTCCAGGCACCCATCCTAAGACTCCCTCCTGCAACCGGAGGGGTCACAGCCACACTGCTCCTAGGGTAAGATCCAAGCTGCTTAGCAATGGCCTGGAGGTTGTGTGTAATTCAGCACTGATTCTCTCTCCACTTTCCTCCCTCACCTAGCAACTCCTCACGCTCCAGCTACTGGAAGATCTGTCTCCCCGGCAGGCTCCACCTCCACATGCCATGCGTTCTTCCGGAAACTGCTTCTCCTTCACCAGGCCAACTTCCACTCTTCCTTTTAAGTCTCAGCTGAGGAGTTACTTTCATTCATTCATCCATCCAACAAGTATTTATGGAGCACTCTGTACTAAGGACATTATTGAAAACCAACCAGCAGAAGAACCAGCTTGGAGGGAAGAGGCGCCCATGGGTCACACTCCCCATGGTGACAGCACACGCATGGAGCAGGTCACTAATTTTTAAGTGGAATTTTAATTGTGCACCTCCACTTTGATTTTTACATTACTTTCAGTATGATGCCAACATCGACTGTGCAGAAGGGCTCTGGTGGGTGTTCAAAGCCAAGCAAGAGCTGTGGAGCATGTCCCTCCCCAAAGGTCTCAGGACAGCAGCACTACTACACACAGACACACGCACACACGCACACACGCAGCCTTAAGGCTTCTCTGAGTGCTGGTATCCCATGTAGGCACCAGCTTTCAGGACACGAGCCAGGTGATGGAAATCTCTAGAATGACAGGTTTCTGTTTGCTCTTGGTTCATTTCTTAGTACTACAGGGGCTATCTGAGATCAATGTGGGTCCCAAGAAGAAGGGTGGTCTTTGGACAGTGGTTTGAATTCTCAGGAACTCATTTTTCTTTCATAGTTTCAAACCAGAAGGAGACCATGGAGAAAGGATGAGAAGGAGCCCAGAGTTTGGCTGGCTAGGCAGTCAAGATCTGTTAACAACGGTCAACATCTCCTGGCCCTGCTTTGAAAGTCTGAGAGGGTGCAGCTCTTCACCAATCACGCCCAGGGGTCTACCTGTCAAATGTCGGGCATACGTTCAGATGGGAAGTCACTTATGACACAGGACACCAGGAGGCATGTCCTACCAACCACACCCTCACCCACGATGAGCCCAGTGCAGTAACTGTCGGCACTGCTGAGTGCTTTTGTACCATTTTAAATCCAGCAGTGACCACAGCTCCTCTACCAGGTGTCACTAGCTCCTCGGGTGGTGTCAGCTCCTGGACAGAGGCCTGTGCATTCACAGCCACCCCTTTACTCCTTTTGGATGTACGCAGACAGGCAGGTAAAGCTAAATAATGGTTATGCTGCACATTACAAACTTTATATAAATGATATGATATGCATATCCTCCGGCAACCTGCTTTTCTCTTCAACATCTAGTTCATTCATTTTAATTACTGTATAGAATTACACTGTATGAAAATACCACAGTTTGTTCACTCATTCGATAAACTTTTACAGTTTGGAACACTGTGGCATGTGTCTCTTTGGGCGCAAAGGCAAAACTTCTCCAGGGTAAATACCTAAAAAGTGTGCATCTTCCATTTTACTAGCTACTGCCAAATTTCTCTCAAAAGTTAAGTCTAGTGCATGACCCTCTACCAGTACCGTGTAGGGTTCCCATCGCCGCTAATCTTCTCAAACTCTGGCAGCATCCCAGTGTCGTTTCTGCTTGTCTGATACTATGAAATACTACTGAGCTGTGATTCTAATCTGCAGCTCCCTGGTGACTGGGGAGGCTGGGTGACATCTCCTCGCGGATTTACTTTCCTCCTGAATGTTTGGGTTCTGTACGTATAGCTTGTCCTTCCTTTTGCTCACGGTGTCCAGTGCGCATAAACTTTCATTTTAATGTAGTTCCTTTATGAACTGTGACTAACTTGGCTCATCTAAGAAGTCCTCCCCTCTCCCAAAGTGGCGAACTGCCTCTTGCATGTTACCGGAGCTCTTTTATCACCAGTGGGCCCAGCGCCGTCTCCTAAGCAGCCCAGCCTAGCATGGCCTGCCAGCTTCTCACACCAGTCTCCACACACGTGCAAGTCTGCGCTGGGCTCTGCTGGCTGGCTGGTTTGCTCACCACCACACAAATGTCACGGTTTTAAAAAACACAACTTCACATCTGGTAGGGCAAGTCCTCAGGCCGTGCTGCTCTTCCGATTTGCTGTTTTAGCAACCACTTACCAAGTTCAAAGAAATTCCTGCTGGGGTTTTTACTAGAATTATATCCAATTTATAGATTAAGACAGGGGAAATCAACATCAGAACACTGAATCTTCCTACATATGAATATCTCTAAGTTTCCTGAAATACCAGAATTGTTCTTCTCCAAAATTATACACACAGCTCGTTATACTTATTCCTTGGAAGCTTAAGTTTTTGTTGCTATTATAAAGAGTATCTTTTTAAATATTAAATTTCCTTTTTCCTGCTGCTTTTGTATATCGATCTTACAGTCACCAACCTTGGTGAACTCATAAATTGTAAAGATTTTCTGTAAATTTTCTTGAGTTTTCTACATAGACAACCATTCCTGTAAATAATGTTTCATTTCTTCCTTTACAATTATGCTTTTTTATTTATTTTTATCTTATTGTAACAGCTACTATTGTCAGTACAACATTTAATATAAGTGGTGACAGAAGGCATCCTGCTTTAGTCATAAATTTAACGGGAATGCTTCTAAAGTTTCACCAATAAGTTTACTTTCTGAAATTTGTTGATACCCCTCAATAGATCAAGGAAGTCCCCTTCTATTCCTCATTTGCTAACTTTTTATTACAAAAGAGCAATGAATTTTATCAAACGCTTTTTCTCTATTTATTGGATGATCATTTAATCTGTTACCAAAGTGAGTCACAATCACAGACTGCATAACATTAAACCATCCCTGCATTCCTGAGAAAAGCACCACAGGTTATCCTTGAAGGCATCACTTTCCCACAGAAGCTCTCACACCAGGAGAAAAAGCACTGCATCGGGAGGATTCCCTGAGGCACCACGGCCACGCCTTCCTGCTGCTCTGCCTGTGCTGGGCTGCCTGCCACAAACAGGTGCTAGTTCAACATTCAAGGAAAAATTTGGAAAGCAGACACTGTTTTTTACTGGTGCTTTTAATCACCATATGGGTTTAGACTCCTGAATAGAAAATTTCCAAGAAAGTAATTTTAAAATAAACATAATAACAAAAAGGCCTAGACTACATAACCTACTTACTTCAAGTAATAGTTAACATAACGAAGAAATGAGGAGCCTAGTCCCTTCAATTCTTTACAATGGAATGGAGTCTTTACTATGTACTAACAGGTTGCATATTTTATGAAAACTATTAAGAAAATTATTTGAATATTTTTAATCATTACTGTCCTTTTAAATATTATGGAAATAAACCCTCAAACCTTAATGCTAGTAGATGTTATTGTTGTTGTCAGGGCCTTATGTACAACAGAACAAAACCTTGCCCGGTCCTGCCCCTCCTCACAATCGCTGTTTTATCTCACTGTTGCAGCAATGCTAGTAGATATATTTGGGCTTCTTAAATGAATGTTATGGATTCGACTGTGTCCCCCAGAAATATGTGTTGTGAATCTTAAGTCCTATGACCTGTGGTTATAATTCTATCTGGGAATGAGTTTTGTTTGTTATGCTAACAAGTAAGTATTGGTGTAAACTGTGTCTTCAGTCAATCTCTTCTGAGATATAAAAGGGCAGATTGACCATGCAACCAACCAAGCAAGCACAGGTGGGGCAGACAGATGCCAAGCCACATGAGATCTCCAAGGAACCAAGAAACAGAAGCTGAAAAGAGACAAGGACATTCCCCCAGAACCAACGGAGAGAGAAGGCCTTCCCCTAGAGCTGGCACCCTGAATTCGAACTTCTAGCCTCCTAAACTGTGAGAAAATAAATTTGTTTGTTAAAGCCATCCACTTGTAGTATTTCTGTTATAGAAGCACTAGACAACCAAGACAATGGGTGTACTCCCTGGCTGGCACAAATGTTAAAGCACTTAACTACTAACCAAAAGGTTTACAATTCAAACCTACCCAGAGGCACCTTGGAAGAAAGGCCTGGCAATCTGCTTCCAAAAAGTCACAGCCTTGAAAACCCACATGGAGCACAGTTCTACTCCGTACACACGGGGCTGCCATGAGTCAGAATCAACTCGATGGCAACTGGCTTGGCTTTTGGTTTTAAAACATTAGAAGCTTCAGAACAGTATCCTGGAGAAAACACTAGCCCAAGGGTCGGGCGAAGTTTCTAGCAGAGGACAGCCCACTGAAATCCACTTCCTGCTGTCCCCAGTATCTTCTCATCCACACTGCGAGGAATATCTTTGTAACCCAGCATGGAAATGGCAAGTATCTGTCCCCAAAGGTCTAAATGGCTGCTCCCTAATAATACTTATTAGATCTAAAAATCGATGCAACTCACTGCAGACTCTGCTGATAATGCTGAGAAACAGACGGTTCTGCACTGAAGGAACACTTCTCAAATCCAGAAACCCCCTAGCATCGTAACACAGTAACTTAGCATCCATTATAATACCCACCTCATCCCTGTGCTTTTGACAGAAGACCAGAAACTGGGAAACCGCATCGCCCTTCCTGCTTCGTGGAGTGCAGGCCGTGGCCTTTTTTCTCCCAGGGGGAGACCCTACTCCTCTTTTGGGGTCTGCCTCTGCTGTCTTTTGAGGAGTGGTGTTCACTGTCCCAGGCTCGCTTTCTTGGCCTTCAGCAGAGCTACGCAGTTTGGCTCTCCTCCTCCTCTTAACAGGAACCCCCTCTTCTTTCGTAGACTCAAGGTTGTCACTGACTCCTGACGAGTCTACCACTTCTCCTGGGGTCTCCATAGCAATGCCAGCCTCCCTAGCAACGCAAGGGTTAAGATGAAGCTGGTCCCCCACATAGACGAAGGTGAACTTGGCTTTCCGTTCATCTACTGACATGCTTGCGGCTTCTTTTGCTTGAACAATACCCATTTCCCACTGGGCCCTCAATTTCCCTGAAATAGGTTTTAACAGCTGAAAAGAAAAACATAAGACATTATAAATTTCATTACACAAACAGAAAAATTAACCAACTTTAAAGAAAGATATTTTTAGAATTTCAGATAAATTTTGAAATCAAAAACGCTAAAAATTTACTCAGAAGGATTTAGACAGAATTCAGCTCAATATAATAACCCCACTGTTTCTTTAAACTAGAAATCAATTCCAATTACATTAGCAATGTAATCTATATACATGTAAAGGAAAATAAAAATTATAAAACCAGTTATCTCTGGGAGTCATCAAATGAGTAAAAGAGAATAAATTGTGTCTCTAAAGAAACTTGCCAGATATAACACAGCATACATGGGCAAAAGCAAGCAATTACGAAAAGAAATAAGAAGCCATTATAATATTTCAAGCAACTATAACTTCAAAACATGCTAAATGATAACGTAAAGAAAAAAATGAAAACTTCTGTCCACAAGTTTTATTTCATATAAGGAATGTCGATCACCTTGATCTTCTCTGCTTTCGTAGGTGCTTGTCTGGCACTTTCCTGGCACAATTTTTCAAACTGTCCTTCTCCTTCAAAAGCTACAAGGCTCTTCTCAAATATCCAAGCTCTTTCTGGGGCATCACCAAAGAACTGTACATGATACTGGCGTGCACTCTTTTTCTGACCTAGTTTTTAAAACAAAATGTTAGAACTTCTAAGTTAGGATTTGGGAAGAAATTAGGCAAATCTACTAAAAATTACTGATATGAAGTTGGAAGCTGCTCTGACATTGCTTTACTTAGTGTGTTTGGGTCTGTCAACCTCGAAATAAATCCTCCTCTTCTTATCCCTACCATGCTCGATGCCTAAGAAAGGTAACTCAACAGACTCATTTACCAGAGACTTAGGTAAGGCTCAAAACCGACTGGGAAAGAGGGCGGATTCCACGCAGCCCTTTATCGCCTCTCCTTCCCAAGATTCTCTTAAAAAGTTATTGACCAATAAAAAAAAGTTATTGACTAAATAAGGGGGAGTGTGCTGTCACAGAAGGAGGAGTGTGCTGTCACAGTATGGGGAGAGCAATCAGGGTCACATAACAATGTACGTATAAATTTTTGTAGGAGAGACTAACTTGAAATGTAAACTTCATTTAAACTACAACAATAATTAAAAAAAAAAAAGTTATTGACTACATAAAGTAAGAGATGACATCAGCAAAAGAGACATTTCAAAAGAAATGGCTGCAAGGCATTGGGAGGCGGCGTACTGCAGTCAGCAGCCTTGGGTCCCGCCAGGCTCCACCAACCTTCCAGCTGTGCAGCCTTGATGGGCTCATTCAGGGCTCGAGGTGACAGAGCCCCGACGACCTCAGAGGGTGACTGGGAGAGCACACAGCAGCCACTCAGATGTCTGCTGCTGTTACTGCTCAGCAGAGAGGATGAAGCCACATCCTACAATGTAGCCAGCAGGGGACCTGGGTAAAGGAGGCGCTCTCACCCCAAAACCCAAGAAAGGGGTTGCCAGATTCTGCTGAGGTCAAGTGTGAGGTTGAAATCAGGTAAGCCAGTTGAAAAGTCAGATCTCTGCACCAAGGGGGAAGGGAAGAAAACTGGGGGACCCGCCAGTCACTGTTCTCTCCAGCAGAAAGCTGGCCACAGGAATTCAAAGGATACTTGACTGGAGAATTGAAGTGACCCAGAGGAAAAACCTCTCCACTAAGTCTTTTAGAGGTTCCGAACTAAGTGGCCAACTGTTAAGTGGACACTCTAAAGTGAAGTCAGCCAGATAAGAAAGCCACCCCCACACACAGGTTCAGGCAGCAGTGAGAGCACTGTGCTTTTAAATGCAAACCCAGCAGCAAGGCGCCCGGCACCCAGGGGAGCCTCCAGCATGAAAGAGTCCAAACTCCACAGAAACAAACAGCTTTTGCAGGGCCTCAGACAATGCAAGGAAGAGAAGAACCTGACCACAAAAAACCCTGGTTTGCTACAAAACAAGAACAAAGAAAAACAGCTATTAACCCACTGAAACCCACTACCGTTGAGTCGATTCCAACTCACAGCGACCCTATAGGACAGAGCAAAACTGCTCCATAGGGTTCCCAAGGAGCAGCTGGTGGATTCGAACTGCCGACCTTTTGGTTGGCAGCCAAATGCTTAACCACTGTGCCACTAGGATTCCAAAGAGCTATTAGATATGTTAAAATACAATTAATGAAAATAAAATTCAACAGGATAGCTTGGAAGGGAAGTTAAGAAATCTCCTAGAAAGAAGAAAAAGATTAAGATGAAAAAATGTTTTCTCCCATGATATATCTACAGGACCCATCCCTGAGGTGCTATCCCAAATAACAGGCCTTCTGTACAGAGAACCAGAGAAACTCATCAAATTAACATGAGAACATGTCACAGTACGTGTCTCATCCAGCACCCACATCAGGGCCCATCTTTATGAAATTCAAGCTGCTGAGGGGAGGACAGATTCCACTGACATCGCGTGTGAGAGGACAGCCTCCGTTTTAATGGAACAGGAAACACAATGGCAAAGAACTTGAAAAGCAACTCTGGATACTAGAAGGCAATGCAAGAATACCGTCAAAAATCTGAGGGGAATTATTTTCAACATAAAATTCTACACTCAGCCAAATCAAGTGTGAAGGTAGGGAAGTAGCACCCTCTGAACTGCAGGGACTCAAATTTACCTACTATCACTTTTCTTAGAACGTCAAAAATGTGCTCCAATAAAAAAGGAAAACTAACCAACGAAGAGCATGTCATGAAATCATAGAAAACACACATTAACTCAGGGAAGCAAGCATCTTCGAGTCTGAGATTACTGCTGCTGTGCAAAAGGTTACGAAAGCCAGCAATCCACACTGAAGCACGAAAAAGGAAGGTTCTAGGAAAGAAAAGATGAGAGAAGAACTCTTCCACACTGAAAGAAAATATGGAAGGCAAGGAAGGAGGGTTAAAAGATGTGACCAAAGAGAAGAAAAGAGAGGCTCATAATCAAACACAGGTTTTCATTTGTTTCTCTGATGGGAAAATTAACTATAAAATAAGGATGAGTTTTAAGATGGAACCCTTGAAAAAAAATTCAAACTTACAAAAAAAGACCACATTTACTGGTCTGACAGAGACTGGAGAAACCCTCAGAGTACGGCCCCCGGAAACCCTTTCAACTCAGTACTGAAGTCACTCCTGAGGTTCAGCCAAAGATTAGACAGGCCCATGACAATAATACACGTAGCTCAACCACGTATACAAGACTAAATGGGCACACCAGCCCAGGGGCAAGAACCAGAAGGCAGGAGAGGACAGGAAAGCTGGACGAATGGAAATGGGGAACTCAAGGTTGAGAAGGGGAGAGTGCTGACACGTCACAGGGTTGACAACAGTACGTGTATTAATTATTTAATGAGAAACTAATTTGCTCTGTAAACCTTCATCTAAAGCACAATTAAAAAAAAAAAGCTGTCAAGCGATTTGTGACTTCTTCCATTACTTTAGTCCCTTGTGGTGTAAATGCTTAAGCACTCAGCTACTAACCAAAAGCTTCGTGGTTTGAGTCCACCCAGAGGCACCTGGGAAGAAAGGCCTGGCAATCTACTTCCGAAAGATCACAGTCACTGAAAACCCTATGGAGCACAGTTCTGCTGACACATACTCAGTGGCAACTGGGTTCCCCGCTCCCTCCCATTACTTCAATACTTTGAAAAAGCTTTCCTGAGTCATGAAAACAAATATAGATGTATGTCATAGCATTATTTACAATGAAGAAAATCTCTAACAGTATATATAATGAAATAATACGAACTTAAATCATATTTATGAATAGTTAATGACATAGAAAAGCTCCTTACATGCCAGGTGAAGAAATATAGTCTAATTGTAAGTCTGTAAAATAAATGTATAACATTTTTAAAATTTCTTTCCTATGTAGAAATTTGATAACAACATAACCCAATTTTCTCCTACTTTTATGAGTTTCTTTAATCTACATGAATTTTATTTTGGTCCAAGTTGAGAGGTGAATATCTAGCTGTTTTATTTTACCACATAACTAACCAACTGTCCCAGCACCATTTATTAGTAATTCTTTCTTCACGTTATTTCTGATGTTCATTAATCATGGTCTGTATAAAAATGTCTGTCATCGACTCCCCAACCCACACCCCTTTCTAAGAGATCCTGGACTCCACCAACAGCCCTGTTGTCCATGTTCATTTCCTCCCCATCACAACCCATTGGAGGAGAGGTGGCCCTCAACCCTTTGGGCTAACCAGAGTCTCTCTCCAGATTATGTGGAGTCTGTGAGTGGACAATGGCCACTTGAACTGTTAGGTCATTCATGTAGAATAGAGCCACCACAAGATAAGGCTGCCTCAGGAGCTAAAGCTCTAGGGAGCCACAGAAGCCATTAAGATGCAGATGAGGCCAGAGGGTGCCTAGAGAAACAGGAGTGGAGCACAGGGCAAAGTCACAAGGACAGGAGACCACAGAGCTCCAAAGGAAACAAAGGACAAGTACCACCATGCCCAGGTTTTCCGTTCAGTCCTTGGGGGCACTGACAGAACTAAAGTAGAAAAGGGCACATCCACCAACACAGCGAGAGATTTTAACACACCTCCCAGTAACTAACAGAACAGGAAAAAAAAAAAATCAGTAAGGAGGTTATAATATCAGATAACCAGAGACATGAGAAAGATTACCTGTAATAATTTTAGAAAGATGCTAGAATTTAGAAATTAAACAATGAGGGTTAACTCCCAAGATTCCCTACCACCAGATTTATATCTGAAGTCTCAATGAATTAATAGCCATAAATCAATTCAGAAGACTGCCTATTTAAAAACGTTGCTTGCTTTGCTGCAAGGACTTGCAAACAACTGAAATGTCTATCTACGTAAGAGATTTAAAAAAACTCCAGTTTTTCTAAAGTTTAATGCAACATTATATTACAGATTATAAGACAGACCTTAAGAGTACTAGCAAAATTAGATTTTAAGCATTTTTAGCTTGTGTTGCGGTATACAGTTGTGTTCTGTAGATACACAATCTTACTTCCTTTGCAATTCCATGTCAAGTAGTTTGGCTGTACCATCCTCAAATATCAATTTGGAAAGAAAAAACATGTCTGTCAGCAGCTCATTTTCCCATCAATTTAAGATGCTAAACTATAAATATGCTGCAAACTGGGGGGGGGGGGGGCGCGGATTCCCTACCATAACGCAGAGAAAGCGATGATAAAAATCTCCACAGTCGAAAATTACTGGATTCTAGACCCGTTATCTGAAGGGAAGATGGTGAAGCTCCTAGATGCAGAATTCAGTTTTCTTCATAGTACAACATCTAAAATGTAAGTTTATCTTCTGTTTCCAACTTAAAGGGTCAAGCCTCAAAGCTGTTAATCGATCAAGGTGCCCCAGTAGACAGCAGCCAAGACAAGCTCTGTCTGCTATATATCACAAAAATGCTTTCACCAAAGACTTTCATTAACTTCGATTTTCGAAGGAAATTTGGACTTTCAAAAAAATCTAGATTGAGCTGTAGTTTATGACTATTCTCTTCTGCATGTACATTATACTTTAATTTACAAAATATTAAGTGCATTACTAAGATCCACAGATCCAAGTAGGTTCATGATAAATAAAAATACACGCACACCCCTAAAAACTTAAAAAGTT